TAGAGACAAGTGAGTAGAAGAATGCATTGTACTCTTCTTTTCCACCAGCCATTCTGTCTTCAAGTTTACCCTGTGTTTTTTCATCATGTAGACAAAAAGAAAAAAAACTTATTGGATCCAGCCAACAAACTAAACTAGGAGAGAAACAACAACGTGATGACTGATGATTAGTAGTATCGGAAAATCAAACCTTGGCCCTAAGAATACGACCCAAACGCTGAGCCTCTTGACGTCTAGAACCAGCATGTGACGAAATCTGGATAATCACATTAGCTTCAGGAATGTCTATGGAGTTATCACCAACCTGTAAGTCAAAAGAAACCAACCTAAGTTCCTTAATGAACAATATCCAGGACAAATGGAAATGGAAACAATGCTAATACCTTTGACAAGAAGACAGTGTTCAAGTCTTTACTGGTTTTAAACGCCTCGAGAATTTTTGTTCGTTCGATATGGCTACAGGATTGAACAAAAACCGAGGGTTATCAGTTTGGCAAATGAGTGAAAAAAACAAAAGTGTGTTTTCCATACAACTTCTTTAACGAACCTGGTTGCGCCATAAATCATTGGCTTCCGAAGTTTCATTGCATATTCTGTAAGTGCAAAAAGATTGTCTGCAAAGACGATGATCTTATCCCCACGTTGTTGTTCATGGAAACGTATCAGAAACTCACAGGCTCTGAACTTGTTAGGGTTCATGACATAAAGCGCCTGCAGATATCCGAAGGCAAGATATGTACATGTCAGAGCAGCTCAAGTGGTTTACTAGCCCCATCCCCGGTGGTGATTTTATTAGTGCATTTGCCAAATTATAAGACACACTAAAAGAACCTATCATATGAATGTTTACTATATTTTAATTTTCCAGACTACATAAAATTCAAGGATTATCCATGCATCAAATGAACCAAACATAAAGATCAGATATCCAACAATAAAACAGAGAACAATGTGGAAAAGCTTATATTCATAAACCTGTTTTTTCTTGGAGTTCTCTTTCTTCAGATATTCTGCAAAAAACTCTTTGGTCATAGGACACCATACTTCAGCACACTGAACATTTGCAATAAAGCCTCCTTTAACTAAATCTAGCCAGTTGGCTTCATATAGTTTCGGGCCAATGAGGAAGTTCAAATCTGTGATCCTTTCGTCCTCTCTCACAAGGGTGGCTGAACAAAAAGACCAAAAAAGAGACTTAGCTTCTGAAATCGACGTAACAAACAAAAAAGGTTAATGAAAGTAAACCATTCAGTTACCTGTAAGTCCAAGCTTGCAGTGAGACTTTGTGATACTGATAACTTTCCTAAACATATTGGCCGGAACCACATGCACCTATAAAAAAAACATAACTCTTGAAAATTCAGGCATTGAATGCATTCATGGGCTTAATACTGGAAACACCTTCTCAATGAACCACATTTAACTTGTTCCGCAAAGTAACTACCAGCAAACACTAACTTCAATTCAAAGACACACATCAAACTGAGAACTATTTAATCACCTCGTCCATGAGCAGCAACCCCCACTCTCTATTTCTCATGTCTTCTATGATCATCTGTGAATCCTCAGATCGTTTACCGCCAAAGGCAACCATGTTATAGGTTGTCACAACAACACCAGCATTCCCACGAAATTTTTCTTTACTATCAGATGTAAAACGGCATATTTGGTCATCTCTTATAGTAGACCACAACTTGAATTGGAAGGCCCACTGATCCACCGAGACAGCATTCGTTGCCAAACAAAGAACACTCTTCTTTATACGAGCCGCTGCAGAAACACCAACTAGGGATTTACCAGCACCGCACGGCAACACTATAATCCCAGATCTTGCTCGTCCTGCAGAATCAAGATTCTAGAACAGTCACAATCTTTCACAAAAAATTACGGAGATAACCATAAAGCTAGATTAGTCAATGTACGGGAAAGTAGAAATATAAATATCTATGAGAAGTTGGCCACCATTTCAGCAGACGCGTTATGATGAATTGCTAAGAAGGAAAAAAAAGGAAGTAGACAGGTATACCGTTCCCAAACATTTTGCTCAAACTTTTTTCCTGATATGGCCTCGGTTGTGCATGGGGCTTCAATTCAATGTCAAGATCAGGATTGACCTGACAGACACCATCAAGTTATTAACAAACATGAACATGCAGTGCATATCATCTGGCAAGTAAAAATTGGCCGGAAGTATTATTTACATTGTCGTTTCTGAAGTCATATTCCTCTAACATAGGGTAATTCAATTCACTTGGCAAGCAACGCTGCTTCACATTCTCCACCTGCACACCAAAAGCAGAAGAATTATTTTTCACACGCCAATTCAGACGCATTAAGGGAAATTTACCTGTGCAGGGTCTATCTCAAATGAGTGAGTTTCTTTCTCTTCTGCTGCTGCTGCCAATTCTGCTTCATTCAACAGCTCCCCAGGTCCTGCTTCAAGTTCACCGCTTGTTTTCCCGACCGTGAATCCATCACCGCCATAATATGGCTAGCAAAACAAGAAGATCTAAGTTGATTCGTCATACTGTGGAGAACACAATGGTATAAGACAAATGAACTCCAAATTCAATGAACAAGGGGTTTAAGAAGAAGGATAATGAAGTCTATCTACAAACTGGAAACAAAGTTCCAAAGAACCACTGGGAAACTAGAACCTGAGAAAATCCGGGATATACATCTCGGCCAATTGGTGACAAAAGGTGCAAAATCCGTTGAGACAATAGATCTAGATAAAGGCTAGAAACCACGAACGCAAACATAATGCACTAAATGGAGGAGTTCAACGTACCTCTGAAGAAAATCTAGCTCGGCTTATAACACCATCACTAAGAAGCGTTTTCAAAACCTGAATTTTTTTGTTTTGAAACAATTGAGCAAAAGCAATGGCGAAACGAAACCGATATCCAAATACACAAGACCAAAGAAAGAGGATAGCATCACTTGTCAACTTACCTCCGGGAATGGGGATTCAATAAAATACCGATTCTTTTTCAAAACCAGCTTCACTTTCCCGTAATTGGCAGTAGAAGCATAGATGAAATCAATCATCTCCTTGGGTAGCTTAGTCTTAGACAATTTATTCAAAACAGAAATGATAGTTTCTGTTTCAAGCCCGACGGAAACAGCAGCATACAACGAGTGAGGTGTTAAATTATACTCGTGCATCGACTCTGGCCTGAAATAGTAACAAATCAAAAGCAAATCAACCAAAATTCGTATAACCTCCTCAAAACAAAGTTTTCATTGAAGACCACATGACTTTTGGGTCTGGGCATCCTAAAGCCCTTGATTCATGCAAAAACGAAATCAAAATCTCTCAAGAAAAATAAAGATATGATGAGCAGTGAGCACCTGCAAACGGGTTCAGCTATGGCGATAAGAAAGTCATAAGCTTGTTTGTAGAGAGGAGAAAAAGTTTCCAAGAAAATCCTTCCATCTGCACATGCCCACAAAGGCCTGTTTACATGATCTGGCTTCAACTCCAATTCGCTATAATCCCTATCCTTCTTCTCTCCTTCACCTACGAAACCATTACAATGTACTTTATGTAATTATGCTACTGAGATACACACACACATATATATATATATATATAGAAACAAAAAAAATCAATTTACTTACCATCACGGGAATCCTCATCGGCATCATCACCGAGATAGTATTCTTCGTTTTGAATGTTCTTCATCTTTTGATCATCCTGATGATTTTTCACAATGAATTACAGTAACTAACATTGAATAGCCTATCAATAACAAAAAAATACCCGTGAAGAAAACTAAGCACGAACCTTCCCACTGTACTTCATCTTCTTGCTAGAGCGTCCTCTTTCACCTGAAAATCAAAATTTCCTCCCGAGTATTGGCATTTTTTTTTCGCCGGATAATTCGATAAACCACCCAAAAAAAAACACAGTAAGATCGAGAGTAATACCGTGCCCCATATTTGATTATCCTGATCGAATCGTTAGAGATTATCTCTCGTATTATATATCAAATCCGTGAAGGCCAAAACGGTCTGACGGAGGGGAAGAAAAACGGCGTCAAGATTACACGACGGAGAGAAATCGACGGCGTGGAGTTCCGTTATAAGCTAATCGGCAAAGCGAGATGAAACGCCGGCGGAGATTCTGATTTGGATTCGGGTCGGGTATGGCTAAAGAGTCGGTGAGTGGTTTCGACGCGAATGAAGAACACGGCTAAAGAGTCGAGGCAAACTCTGTATTTATAATTAATAGATCACTGGTGGGCTTTTTATATTCAAATTGGCCCAATGCCTTATGTAAAAACGAAATATAGTCAGTCATCTACATACCCTAACAACAACATATATTCACCATTCTCATTCTCATTTTCTTTTTCATTATAGAATTCATCAATTTCTCAATAGTCATGTGGGATAGAGGAGGAGACTCTACAAATATGTTATTCAAATGTTCTTCCTTCTATGTTAACATGGATTTTACTGTGACTAATCTTTTTATGGAGACAGCCTAGATAAGTTTATGGATACTATAGTATTATCTTCTTTTTTTTAGTATTGTGGGTCATTTGTAAAGTTAGGAATGATTTTTTTTTTCATAAGATTCAGCAATTACATCCTAACCAAAGCCAAGACAAATAAACAGAATGAAATTCTTTACGTCTACTAATCAATATTTGATAATATTTTCTTATAAGTACAGCTCATACGAACTACATAATTTGATGATTAACCAAACAAACCATGAACATCATATTGAGTTATATAACCGAAGCCCCAAGAAGTATCAGTGAAATAAGGATGTAAATTTAAACAAGAAATAAATAACTCAAAAGAAAATTAATAAAGAGTTTAAAACGTTGCATATCATAATTAATAAACAGGCAAACAGCTGGATAGTAGATAGTTTTATATATTAAAAACAAAATAGCGTGGTAGATAGTAACTTAGATGGTACTAGGAGAGTATTGGGTGGAAGAAATAACTTCAAATTCGATATCTACATTCAAAGTGTCGTCCTAGTCCAAGTAAGTCTTCCGAATTTCAGCTGTAGACACATATTGAGGAAAACCCCAACTCAGCGTTGATTTGTTGAACCACACTTTCACTGAAAAAAAAATGTTATAGCAAAATTTAATCCCACATGAAAAATCTTCATATCTATGATTTGTATCCTCTAATCAACTGGTAATGAATAAAGAAAGTTAAAAAATTATAAATAATAAATATAATGTAAATGATGGTTGGTAATACTTTTTTTTTAAATATGAATGTTAATTTAAGTTAATAAGAAATACAGATTTTGTAGAGGATTTACAGAAGTTGCTTAGACATCTTACAGAAGTTTGCCAACAAAAACAAAAAGCAAAGCACTAACTAGATAAGATTGAACATGCCAAAATCGTTTTACAATGGTTTGTGACACTTACAATCGTCTTTTAAGTGATTGAACCCAAGTGGATCTAGGACTCTGATATGTGCTCGAATGTAAATCTCTTCATCTTCCTTTAGTGTTTCACCATCAGGTACACACAGAAAAATGGATAACCATTTCCCATCTGCTGTAGTTCCCTTGGGATAAAGCTTTAGAACCCTAGATACACATGCCAAAATCATAAACCCATTATACATGATAGTGCCTAAGGAAAGTTTTGTTATATTATATGGACTTACCAGTTCATCTCTCCCATTGAAAAAATGTTTGATTGCCGAAGATACTCTTTCAAGTCAGAAAAATTCTTAATAGCCATAGAGAACTTGGGACTAGGGAGTTTCTCACAAAAAGAGAGGATTTCCCAACTGGTGAGAGGAGGAGAAACGTCCACATCAACACCAAACTCACATTCATCTCCCTCAAAGATATATCCCTTTTTAGGGTCATTGAATGTATCAAGTGAAATAACTTGCGACAAACCCCACACCATTTTTAATGCATTGAAATGCTTCACTTCCGCATCTAAATAATATATATTTTGTCGATGATATATATATGTGTAAATAGTGTATATGTATATAGGACAGGGTATTGAATTTGTATATACCTCGAACAGTATAGTAACTGTTTTCTTTCTTGTTGTACACGAAGAAGGTGAGGCCAGCATACACTTCATTTGGTGGTGTCTCCATGAGACTTTTGCTATCTATTTCCACATACATTGAAATAAACCCACTCCCCTCATCCTTTGCATTCCCTTTTGGGTAAATAAGTAGCCTCCTAGTTTTCATAAACAACATTATCGCATATACATAAGATGAGATCTCTTTTTGAAAGTTAAAGTTACGATGAAAAAAGGTTAAAATAGTTATTTTGGAACTAGATGATGAATGATGAGAAAGATGCAATTGTCTGTGTCTTATGGTGCATGCACACACAATACATACCAGTTGAATCCGCCGGAGGCAAAAAGACGTGATTGGTATCTTTCATTTGAGGATACAATGGATTTATTGAGTTGAGAAATGTTTTTGATCTTGAGGGAATAAGAAGAAGGATGACGTTCTCTCCAGCTCTCCACAAATGTAAAATTTGCACTTGACATAGTTCACAAAACTGAGTAATGGAGTCAGAAAAATTATTAGGGTTCCAAGATAAAAGATAGTAACTTTTTTGTTTTTAATTCAAACAATATTATTTGAGAACCAAAAAAAGTGTAAGAAATAAAAAGATTTGTGAGGAAGATATTACATATAGAGCGGAAACTTCTTGAACTCGCTGAGGAATAGAATAGAGAGGATATTCTCCTACAAGGCAAAAACAATCAATTGCTGAGTCAGTACATAAGCCTATTTATAACACTAGAAAACCCTAAAAACCTAATTATCCTAAAAACCCTAAACATCTAATCAGAAGACGAAGCAGTCTCAGAGCGATGTTATTAGAATTCCAAGAGAAAGGGCCATGAGTCATGACCCGTGACTCGTAAATCAAAGGCGTTCGCACTTCAGCTAGCTAGTATTCACACTTTAAATGTATTGTAGATTAATTTCGCAGGCTTACAAATTGGTTTATAAATATGGCATCAAAACATATGAAACTGATGTTCCCTAACTTACCTATGCAAATCCGTCAAGGCCAAAACCGTCTTACGTGCGGCGTGGAATACCGTTGTAGACTTGTAGTGAAGTCGTGAACTTTTTTTGACGTGAAGTCGTGAACGAAGAAAATGCCAAAATGGCTTAAGAGACGCCGGAAAAAAATCTCTACGAGGTATTTTATAAGGCTTAAAAGGTAACGGATCAGTCATGGCTATTATAATGGGCCCAATACCTTATGTAAAAACGGAATTTATATTCAACAAAATAAATATATATGTATTTCTAAAAATAAAAGTTGTCAAAAAGAAAAAAAAAAATTGGTCATTCAAATTATGAACTAGTAGACAATTTAAATCATAAACTTTTTGTTGATTTTATATTTAAATCACAAATTTCTGTTTACTGAACCAAAAACACGGCATTAAACACATAAAATAACTAAGTTAAAAAGTGCGTTGTCAATCACAGTTAAGTGATACAACATTGTTTTCTCTTTATTTCTTTAAATCTCAAATCAGGTGTTTAATAAGAAAAAATAAATGACTTCGTATTACTCAACCAAGAATTACAACAGTTTTTTAATCTCGTTTATTCATTTCGTTTATCGATTTAACTTCATGTCTAATTAATTTGGCTCAGTCAACATAAGTTTATGATTTAAATTTAAATTCAATAGAAATTGATAATTTTTTATTGTCCACTTGAAATAACAAAAAAATTGAAATTCCATGTATTTTTTTTACAGTTTTTTCCATTTCTAAATCATAAATGAAAGCAAGAGTAGGCTTCAAGCTTACAAAGCTTTATTGTGTAGAAAACTAAACTGAAAATGAGACACCTCATTGTGAGCTTCATTGTGCAAAAAAGAAAAGAAAGATAAAAGCTTTGGTTGTCACCAATAACAAGATATTTTTTATTAATATATCAATAAGATGAAGGAGGAGCTAGAGTTGCTTTGAGGCAACTTCAAAATTGTTTACATTCATCCTTATAACAACATTCAAACTTACTAGAAACCCCATAATATATGGGGTAATGTCATGGACTTGCATTGTTTTATTATGTTGGGTTTGTGTGTCTAATAAGAAACAATCTCATTTTTACGTGGGTTTGATCCGCATGCCACCTTTTTTCAGATAATTAAAACAAAAAGTATAGTTTTCTCGATCTCCTTTCAAACCATGTCCCTAATTGTGTTGATCCTGATTTGGACTATCATACATGTTTTCAGAAGAAGATAAACATGCTATAGTCGATCATATTTTAGAGGAAATTCTCTTTTTAGCGATGGACCATGATGGTAATCTCACGAGGCATATGAGAAGACTTTGGGTACTATATATCAACAAGCCTCTTTGCGTTTTGAAACACAAAAATAAAAAAATAAAAAATAGATACAATGTTTTCTTAGCACCACGTGAAAAGCACCAGAAGGGCTACTGAATTGGTATCATCATCATAAGTTCAGTATGGTTGGTTTTGTGGACAAGCCTAGCTAGAATATTTGGAGGAAGCTCTATCGACCAAAGCCGAATTGCTCATAACATATATTGACAATTCTTCTGCTTGTAGATGTAGCGAATTGCATTCCAATTTAACAAAATATCTGCTATGCTAAAAAAGGATGACAAAATTCATTTTAAGGAATGATGATTCAAAGGCTGATTTTGGCAAAGCCAAAGGGAGACTACATTAACATTTCTAATCTCTCAATAAGGAATGATGATTCAAAAGGCTCTTTGACAAAGGGTGACTACATTAAAAACAGTTTAATTTTTTAAAACTTGCAAACTTACTGATGCTGTAGAATAAAATTCATCAAAAACAATTTAATACTAGAATATTTTGGCATCACTTTTTTCTTTCTTTAAGTTGATATTTTGTCAATGTAACACCGAGCGAAAAAATATCATAGTTAAAGCGAGTTGGTAGGTCTTAATATACGTGGCAATGAAGACGATACAATCAATCGGTTTGAGTGTATGTTGACGTCTGTAGAAAAACACGAGAAATCCACGTTTTAAGTTGTCTTACACACAATGGGATATTTTTAGAAAAGAAATATATTCTACTTTATGCGCAAAAAAGATATTTCTACATTTATCTAAAATAAAGTTTATGTCAACAAGGAAATTATGTTTCTGTAACATCCATATAGAAACATAATCGTAGCATCCATATAAATAAAATTCATTGTAAGAAATATCAATTATCAAGGACTTCTATTGTTAACTATTTATAAGTGATGTTTTTAGTTTTTTTTTTGGTTATAAAATTAATGTTGTTTTAGGATTTCAATGCAAATTTATTTTGTTACCTTTTTAATTAAACTAATAGAAAATGAAATGTTAAACAAGAATTAATTCAATATTTTACTCTTTTCTTAGCTCATGTAAAATTCGTAAAATCATGAATATCCAATTTTTTTTTTTTGGGACTCCATCGAAACAGATTGCACATTAAATCAAATTTAATGGATATTTTGCTTAGCCTTAAATAGCATGTTTTCTTCAGTTTTTGTGATGAGTGTGGCCACTTCCAATTTTTTTTTTTGCTTTATCTTTTTTTTTTTGGGTGCAAATGTTATGCTTTAACTTATTCTGCCCAACTAAAACCTAAAAGACAAATCGTTTAACCCAATTTTCAATCAGTACTGATGTTAATTGTGTAAACTTTGTTCCTTTGTATTGGACAATCAAATGATGAAAGAGTATTACCACTGAATGACTATGGATAATATCAAAATTAGAACATTTTTCTACAGTGTTTTAAGACATGAATTTAATCAAAACTCCTTTTTTTATATCTATCTTTTTCTTTCTTTCTAAATGTTTTCTTTGACAAACAAAAAATGGATATAACGGAGTAGTCATTACAAACTTTAAGATTGAAACAACCAACAAAACACATAAAGAGTACCACAAGTCTCATCTTTTCACGAATCTCTTAGCACATTCATCTCCATATGCTGTTAATGCCTCTAACAATGTTATCATGTTAACTTTGCAATTATTATTTGTGAATATTCTGTATAAATTAAAAATTAACATAAATATTATCTCAAAAAAGTTATCATTACAAAGTTAACATAAATAATATTCAGATTTACTATATGTTAACATGTTATAATTATCAGATATTCTTATTATCACGTTATAATTATTGGATATTATTGTTAGCACGTTATGAATATCAGACATAATTGTTATCACGTTAACATATATAAAAGGTGTTATCATGTTAATTATGTTAATGAATCGTATATAATGTGTAATTATTATTAATATGTTAACATATTAATTGTTAGCATGTTAACAACATGATTTTGATAATGAATAATTATTTTTAATCAGATGAACAGTAATACCACTCATATAATGAACAATGTCACCGATTTATTTTGTTGAAAAGTCAGTTTCTAAATCAATGACGTTCTTTGTAATTATTTTAAACTGGAAAATGTGTTTTTTTAGGATAAATTTGTTTGCTCTTTCCTATTTTACTAAATTTTAAATTAACTTTCCTACATAGCTAATTTTTTAATGGTATTGAATCAATTAACTCAGAAATCATATTTAAAAATACATCCATCTTATATTATATATTTTCGTTGTAATGTCAATTATGACACTTACTGTATCGGTATGAGTAAACCAGTGATATTGACGACAAAAAAAAAAACCAGTGATATTAAACTAATTAGCTAATTAATTAATATTATAATCAGAGATGAGTCTTCTATTTTCTTAGGAAAGTCATTTGATAGAGCGCACGATAAACAGCAGCACAAAAGCGCAGAAGCAGAGGTGACGAAAAAGGTTTCTCCCGAGAAAAAGGTGCACGAAAAGTAAAATTTTCTCTTCGATTTTGATATTTTCAATTCCTCTTTCCTGATTCAATCTCCAGAGAATGATCGGTAATTATTTGGGGGTCTTTGATCTTGCTAGTGATCGCTGTTTAGGTTTTTTTTTTTTTCTCGAGCTGAATTCTGTGCGAAATTCTGTGGGTTTTGACTGTCTAGATCCGTTTTTCTCTTTGTGTTCATGCTAGATTCTGAGATTCTGATGTTTATTTTGGATAAGTTCTGGTTTAGGGTTTTACGGAGCTTGGGGATTGTGAACTTAGTAGCTAGCTCTCAACGAATCTCTTAGGTTTTTTCTTCTGTGTATTTTTTTGTTTTTGGGATTTATGCTTATGTTGGAGTTGAATTCGAATAGAAGTGCTTGTGGATTTTGGGTTTTAGTATATATTTTTTTGAAAATTCACTGTAGTTGTGTGTAGGTGGTGCTAAGTTGATTGAGAAATCGGCCTTCTTCTGATTTAGTAGATGCACATTAGGCTTTATCTCAACATCGATGTCCCTATGTTATCGGTTTGAGAAGAGGTGTTTGGTGTGTCAAAATTGATTAGTGAGAGTAAATTTAGACTGTTCTTAGCTGAAATTTTGGATTATATGTTTTTTGCTCTCTTGATGTGGTTTTATAAAGGTGTAAATCATGATAAAACTGTTCGGAATGTGCAGACAGCTGAAAGTGATTGAAAACGATAAAGCTTGTTTCAGTTTCTTGCAGATGATAAATGATTCATCTATACTGTATGTAATTTGTTTCTTGTTTCTTCACACTGCTTGTAGGTTAGCGTAATAGATGAAGAGTCTTCGTTTTTTGGAATTGTGATTAGCAGAAAAAAAAAAACAAAAGAAGAAGAAGAAATGGGAGGTTGCTGTTGTTGTTCTTCTTCACGAAGAGCTGATGTAGATAATGGACCTGCGTACTATTACGTTAGTGTGATGCTTCTTCAACTTCCCTTCTGACTTTTATTTGTGTGTTCTTGCAAAGATTAGTCTGCAATTCTATCAGTCTTGCTGTGCTTTGGAACACAAAAGGAGTTAAAATTCATAAATAGTTTCGAGACTCGTATGAGAATATGAGTGTTTAAAAGTGTTTTCCCATTGTTGATCCTCCTTTTTTTTAACTTGTATTTGCAGTACCCGAGGGCAACCGAAGAGCGTGTTCCTTTATCTTCGGCTCATAACAGGACATCCTCTGCAATCTCCTCTGGTGTTGTAGTCGTAGACACAAACTTGGAGACATCATCTCCTGATGCTTATATACCACCACCACCACCTATTCCTTTTGATGTGGCTATAGGGGTTCCTCAAACACCAGGAAACGGTGAAGAGACTACTTGTGTTGATATAAGAGAAGTTTCAGCAGAAACCGCTAATACCGAGTCTGCTCTAGAAACAGTTGATGGTATCACTCTCGGGGTTCCAACTACATGCTCATTTAAAGACACAGAAAGCAAAATCCAGACAGAGCTTAATCTTGAATCTACTGAAGATATAGATCCGAAGCTATCAAAAGACGTCTTTGTGCCAATAGAGGAAGAGGAGGATTGTCCCATATGTTTGGAAGGTATAAGTTTTTGCCTTTTCTTCATCTCTGAGATATAAACCTAACCGTACTTTATATGATGTGAATGACTTATTTATCTTGTTTTCTTTTTGTGTGTGTGATTCAGAATATGATAATGAGAATCCTAAACTTCTGGCCAAATGTGACCACCATTTTCACCTGGCATGCATTCTAGAATGGATGGAAAGAAGTGAAACCTGCCCGGTCTGCAACAAGGTATGTTTTGGACTCAGTGTTTGGTGTATAAATCGCTAGTAAACCGTAATGAGTAATCCAGTTCCTCTTGTTTATGGACCCAACATGTTCACTTTGGTTCCTGGGATGTGTCTAAGAATCCGTTTGTTTTGCAGGAAATGGTATTTGACTCTCCCCTCGACTAGTAACCTGCAAGTACCACAAGTTAGAAGGCTTGATTCGCTCTGAACCCGAACAAAGAAAACGGATAAAAGTAGAAGAAGAGAAAATGGTAACAATACACAATAGTCTCGTTCTTGGAATTCAGAAGTTGCATTTACACATCAGTGTTGATATACATATATGCTTGTACAGACGTTTGAAGTCGTCTACTAAAGAAGATTAAGATAAGAGTTTAGGGGTTTGTGCTTTAACATTCGCTTCTGTGAATAAACAGAAAAAAAAAAAAAAATGAAGTTCTTGTAGATTTTCTATTTTGATTTTGTTAATTCTTGTGTTTTTATAGGTTCTTTTAGAAGTGTTTTAGCTGGGGTTTAATTTGGGTTTGATTCTGTTTTTTATTTGTTCGGTTTTAAGAAAAACAGTAATCAAACTGAAATTGAGTATGTTATGGATTGGGTTATTACGGTTCGGGTTTAGTTTAGTGTAGTGTTTACTTTCTTCCTTTTATTGTTTTTGTCAGATGTAAAATGAAAATGTTTCTAGTGCACATCATGTTTTTTTAGTCTAATTTTATCACAGTTTGTTTACATTTTCTTAGTTAGTCAAATTAATGAGAATATAGTACATGATATTGTTACGTGTAAACGTGCTACTATAAAAACTTTTTGTATGAAGCATTGTTGTTATAAATGATGGTGAGTAGTTGCTAATTTCAAAGAACCGTAGGAAATTTGTAACTGTTGTTAGTATATTGAACAAAAATAGACTTAAAATTTGTTTTTTTTTTTATTTGGTGTTTTCTGTTAATTAATTTCAAAATATTATAAATGTGATCATTGGCCAAACCTTTTTTGTCCTTACACCTTGGACGTGTCCTAAAGCTTCTAGTTTAGGTTCGATTGTGTCACCTCTTCTTCAATTTAATTTGGCAAAGACAAAACCTCCTAAATAATATTTCCTTTCATATGAATCTAATTAATAAAAAATAAAAACAGTTTAACAAAAATAATTGGAATATTCAAAATTTATAAACAAATCCGACTGTCGGTTCAAAATTTACACTTCTCTGCTCATATCGTACCATTTTTTAAACGTTGTAAGTTGTTTTAACTATGAAATGATATAGTTACACTTTGATTATAATGTTTTTTTTTATACAACCATTTCTTCTATTTAAAAATAACACATGAATTGAACAAAAAAGAAAGTTTAAACATTTCATGAATACTGTTAATTCAGAATTTCAAAGTATCTTTTTTAATAGTTGTTTACTTTGAGAGAAAGTAACTTGAAAAGCACAAAATTATTACTGAAACTGATTCGCAAAATTTACTGACAGAAGAATGGTTCCATCTAAACTATATATACATATAATAAACAGATACGGTCTTCCCTTCTTCATCATCGGTGTACGTGAAAAAAAAATAATTATAAAAGAATATAGAAAATCCTTCCTTTTCAGTTTCTCTTTCACACATTTTTCTTCATTTCCACTCGAATCCGAAAGAACCAGAAAAAAAAAACCCAGAAAAGAAGAAAATCAGAGAAATTAAGCGAACCCAGAAAAAAAAGATGTCTTCCCCAAGCAAACGCCGAGAAATGGATATGATGAAGCTGTAAGACTAGTTTTTCTCTTTTGATTCTGATGTTTCTGAATGTCGGTTTCGAAAAAAAAAGTTAATTTTTTTGATTTGTTTCGTCGATTGATTTGATCTTGTTACAGGATGATGAGCGATTATAAAGTGGAGACGATCAACGATGGCATGCAAGAGTTCTTTGTTGAATTCAATGGACCCAAAGACAGTAAGATTCATCAATTTGATTTTCCGTCGCTAAATCCCCAATTTTGTTAATTTTTCATCTTTAATCAAACACTGGTTCTTCTGCGTTCTGATTCCGATTCTGACTCTGCTGCTTATGATTGATGATAGGGTTTTTGCAGTTATATATGATTTCTGAGATTTTGTTCATATTCTGGAAAGTTTTTGTCTTTTTGTTGCTCTTATTTGTTGGGGCTTTGATAGGTCTGTATCAAGGAGGTGTGTGGAAGATAAGAGTTGAGCTTCCAGATGCTTATCCTTACAAATCTCCATCTGTTGGTTTCATTACTAAGATTTATCACCCAAATGTTGATGAACTGTGAGTTTAGTTTCATCACTAGATGTTTCGGACAAAAAAAATTTATGTTCTTGAGAACCTTCTGTGTCTTTATCTTTGGTCTCTTTGTCACGCAGGTCGGGTTCTGTTTGTTTAGATGTGATCAATCAGACTTGGAGTCCAATGTTTGGTAAGGGCTAAACCAAAATGTTGTTGGTTTCTGTTTGAATCAAATGATTGTTTTTGTTTTGAGGAAATATTTGGTTTAGTTCTAATGTTTTGGATTTAATTTGTTTTTTTTTTCAGACCTTGTGAATGTGTTTGAGACATTTCTTCCTCAGCTTCTTCTGTATCCAAACCCATCAGATCCATTGAATGGAGAAGCTGCTGCACTGATGATGCGTGATCGTCCTGCGTATGAACAGCGAGTTAAAGGTAATTTAATCAGACTCCATTGTTAAGAGATTAGTCGAAATTATGAGAAACTGTTAGGTCTTTCCGATCATTTGAGATGCAGATATATAAAGATTTTAGCACACTGAGAATTGTTAGTATCATGGAATTGTTCTTAACGTTTTGCGTTCTTAGATTACCATTCTTAAGCTAAATATTATTCGAAATCATTCGTGTTTCTTTGTTCTAATCGATTATACCTTTTGCTTAGTTAATGTGAGAATTGAAAATTCGAAGTCTTGCAGCTTATGTAAAGATCTGCTAGTAATTATACACTTCAAAAACCCGATCTTGATTCGTACGTTAAAAAGCTCATGATGAAGATAAAGTTTCTGATCACTTTAGGATCGTTTTTTAAAGGCTTAACCATAGGTTTAAGTGTATGCACGGTCTTGATAATGTCGTTGATTAGGCGACATTTTAAGGAAGTTTGATGGGTCATTTTTGCGCGTGTGATGTTTTGGTTTGTGGTTTTCAGAATACTGTGAGAAGTATGCAAAACCAGGGGAAGGTTCAGAAGATAAGTCCAGCGATGAAGAACTAAGTGAAGAGGAATTTGGTTCTGATGACGATGAAGATGATGATGATGATGTTGCAATTGCAGGCAAACCAGATCCTTGAACCGGGATTTGGTAGGGGACGACTTGTTTTATGTATATGATCGATCATGAATATTTTATTTATGCTTATAAGTTACTGAACTGTGAAATCTCCCGTTGTGTTTGTTTACCTGTTTTTAAATTTACCGGTCCGGACGTTTGTGTACATTATTAAGACCGAACCGAATTGTTAGTCTTTTCCGATTTCAAATAAATTGGTCATACCGGTTTAGACCGTTTATTGGTTCGATAATCTTATCTTGACCGTTGACCTTTCTGAAGATTTGAGCTTACTAAAAGAGTTTTATCTTTTCCTCTGCATCAAGAAACCGAAGGTTTAGTGATTTGCTCCGATGAATTTCCCGATCATCTCTCCTGAATCGAACGTTGTCTCCGTCAATGTTGGAGGCCGAATCTTCCAGACGACGAAACAAACGTTGACCTTGGCCGGAACCGATTCTCTTTTCTCTCGACTCGTCACTGAGTCTTCTACTCGATTCGTCGATCGAGATCCCGATTTGTTCTCCGTCCTTCTCTACATCCTCCGTACCGGAAACCTACCTGCGAGATCGCGCGCTTTCGATGTTCGAGATCTGATCGAGGAGTCTAGATACTACGGGATCGAGTCTTTCCTGATCGATTCCCTCTCGAATTCGTCGCAGTTCGAGGCCTTCGATCTCCGTAAATCCCGAATTCTTCCGTTGAACGGTAGAGATTCTCCGTCGACGATCGCACCGACGGCGAACGGTGGAGGCCTCCACGTGGCGCACGGGAGCAAAATCACTTCGTTCGATTGGTCGCTGAGGCGGAAATCGACGGTGTTGACGAATTTCTCCGCCGTGGATTCCCTCCTCGAGATATCGCCGGGAGTGTAGCTGCCGGAGCCACCGATTTCCCAGGTTTGCAAATCATCGATCTCGATAACGGCGGATTCGTCCGTACGACTCTGAACTGGGAAAATGTGACTAGCTCCACGGTTCAAGCCATAGGTTCTTCCTCTGAGTTTCTGTTCACTAGCTTTGAATCTAGCAGAAGGAACTCGAATTCGATTATGGTGTATGATCTCTCTACCTTGTTGCCTGTGTCAGAGATCGATCATTGCGAGATCTATGGTGCTGATATTGATTCTGCGATTCCATCGACTAAGTTGAGATGGATTCAGAGTTGTAATCTGTTGATGGTTTCTGGTTCTCATAGTAGTCCGTCTGGTGTGAGTGGTCATGTACGGTTTTGGGATGTAAGGTCCAAGAATATGGTCTGGGAGATTAAGGAGACACAAGATTGTTTCTCTGATGTGACTGTCTCGGATAACCTCTCGACGGTTTTCAAGGTCGGTGTGACTTCAGGGGAGGTTTTCTACACCGATTTGAGGAGTCTAGGATCTAAGGATCCATGGATTTGTCTTGGAGAAGAGAAGAAGAGAAGCTTGAATGAGAGACGAGGAGTTGGGTGTAAGATAGAGAGCTATGGTAATCATGTGTTTTGTAGTAAAGGAAGTGGGATCGAGCTTTGGTCTGAAGTGATCACGGGTTTGGTAGGGAACGCAAGCCGGGATGTATTGGAAGAGAGGGTTTTTAGGAAGAATTCGTTCGCGAAATTGGCGGATTCAGGAGAAAACAAGATAACCGGATTGGCGTTTGGAGGGAACAGAATGTTTGTGATTCGAAAGGATCAACAGTGTATCGAGGTTTGGCAAAGTCCTAGTCGTGGAGTATCGATTTAATGAGCCAGTTTCAAGCTTTGTTAGAGGTGATCACGAGTTAGATCAATTCGAATCTAACCAAAAACTAGTTACCGACTTACGTTTTCTTAAAGAAGCATGAATATGTGAATGATATTTGCTTATCTAGTAACAAGACCTTTACCAGAGTTACTCATATCTCAAATCTTAACCTTAGTAAATCCATACCCTGCAGAGAGAAGCACATGACTCTGGAACAGGCATTTTATCTACCAGAGCTAGTTCTGTGATCTGAGAAGCCGTTATTACTGTCTCCGACTTCGGATTCGGGAAACCTGCCACCGGAAAAACTTATGGCTTCACCGGCCATTCTCAGACCTCCGAACATATTGTTATTGTCTCTCTGCTGTGAAGAAGTTGCAGGATTCACTTGTGTCGGAAAATTATAACTGCTACCGATTAGATTAGGCTGGAAAGCAGCTGGAAAACCAGAGAAGTAACCGTTGTTGTGTAACAGAGAATTCCCAAATCCTTGTCCTCCCGTGAATCCTGTCTGAAGATCAGAAAGATCATGGATCGGATTAACTGGTGGTTGTCTCAGCTGAAAGTTGTTGTCACTTGCAAAAGACGTAGTCCCTTGACTTGAAGAAGGAAAGAACGAGTTCAACGATGAAGAACCCACTGGAAAACTCTGCAACGATGGCGATGGAGACAGCTTTTGCGCCGAGGGTGTCACAAAGTTATCACCTTTCTTCTGCGTTTCGGATCCTGTCATAGATGATCTGTTTTTGATGGTGTTAGCATCTCTCGTCTTCTTTTGTTTCTGACTCAACTGTGGAGCTTGTATGGCCAAAACAACGCTCTTCGGATTCGTCACTGTCGCATTCTTCTCATTCACCATCTCGGTTTGTGCAACAATCCCTCTTTGAACTTGTTCTTGTTGCTGATAGTAGTTTCCGTCTAAACTACCTTGACCGCTCTTGAGAAACATTTCCAACGGTCCAGCATTATAATCAAGTTCTTGAACTTGACTTCCACCGTTCTGCGCAATCTCTGAACTCTCTACTATAGGTTTGTTCATCGCTTGACATAACTCTTCCGGTTTGCTCTGTTTTTCACTCTCCTTCTTCTTCGGCCCCCTCTTCTTCACCGATCTCTGCGCTGCTACAGAAGCAACCGCTCTCTTCTTTGGAGGCGGCCGGGACATAACATTTTGATCAGATGATCCATGCAATTCGGTCTTCATCCAATCCATTAAGCTCTCTCTAGAAGCCGTGAGATCATCGAGCAACGTCTTCATGAACATTCCAATATCATCTTCCTTCTCCAATACCGTTTCCTCTTTCTTCTTAGTATCCTCTGCACAAACAGTCTTTGGTTTCCTTCTCCTTACTTGCTTAGCTTTCTCAGGTTTACTCTCATCTTTCTTGCGGGTCATCCTCTTCCGGGTTTTCACAGGTTGTTTTTGTTCAGGTTTCGTCACAGTTTTTGCTCCACTATCGATCTGATTCGAATCAAGGACAAGGTTTGGGTTATGAATAAGTGGGTCCTGGGTCGAGGTCGAATCTGGATCATCGCTTGAAGAATCATCAAAGTTGTTCTCTTGCCTTCTGAAATCCCATTTCTCTCTAAACCTTGGGCTCATCTCCCATTCTTAAGAGATTCAAGTTTGTTTTTTTTTTCACTCTGATCTTAAAGATTTCAACTCCCGTTACGCTTTTTCAGATTTCTGCAAGAAAAAAACAAAGATCTTTCAGATTGCTGCATGAAAAACGAGATCATATATACTTAGAGAGAGACATGAGTAAACTTAGAGAGAGACGATTAAACTGCATGAAGACTATATACAAACAGAGAGAGAGGCGAGATTAAGCTTCATGAAATCAAGATGAACACAAGCAATAATGTTCCAAAGCAGAATTTTGTCGTCTTTGCAAACATCTACTGTATGGATTCCTAAACTCTGACTAAAAGTGCGAGTTTGTGACTATCTCCACATAATTTGAAATCAAACTACTGTAAGCTATATTTTCAAGAACTAAGAAGTATATTCATAGATGGCAAGATCACCAGGCTAGCTCTTAATTCCCGAGATTAGTTTTGGTTTCGATTCGAGATATCATGAAAAAGTATAGACATATATCTAAGAATAAGATGCCAAGAAATATAATTTTTGGTTGAAGTGCCAAGATACATATACACATGTGAATTTAAGTTTTTACCGGAGAGAAGGATTTTTCAGGCCAAAATCCTAACCATCTTCACCGTTCTGTCTCTATTTCCTCTATCACTACACTAGGTATATACACTATTTCAGATATATATGTCTCTGTATTTATGTTTTCGGTTTCGCAGTTGAAAAGGAAAGATATTATGTTTTTGTCTGAGAGAAAATATTTCCCATAAGAAGATGTATATATTGGATTTGGTTCTTTAACTTCTAAGATAATAATCTTATATATAAAAGACAATCAACTCTCTCCAGCTGAATGACACATCAGCACTAGAGAGAGTGACACTTGTCCCAATAAATTATTTCTACAAGATTTCATTTAATTTTCATTATATTAAAAATATTAAATCATCAGAAAAATATAAACTAAACTATTTTAAATTTAAATAAAACATTACAATGTATAAAGCAAAAATAATTTGAGATTTTAGTTTTGTCTACTCTTTTTTCTATGTAATTTATTCATATTTTTAATTAACAAAGATAATTTATTCATTAAAAAGTAAAGAAAAAATATAAATAATAAAACCAAAAATGAGAATAATAGATTAAGAAAATTTTAAACAACTGAAGAACAAGTTTTTAATAGAAAACCAAAAAACACAAAAAAAAATATTCATTAAACAATATAAAAAAAATTATCAAAAAAAGAAAAACTGACAAAATAGAAAAGAAAAAGAATATGATAACAAATAAATCGAATCAATGAAATATGTGAAAACAAAACATGAATATGGTAAACTGCAGAAAGTAAAAATGATCGAAAAAACAAGTTATGAAATCAAAAATAAAAAGATAGGTTAAGAATTTCAAACAACCGAATAACAAGTTTTGAGATTGCTAGATTGAGATTTCAAAATGATTACTAGATTGAGATTTCAATGAAAAAAAGTTTAAACATAATAGATAGAAAAGATATTAGGGTCATAAAAAATATTAAAGAAATCATAAAATAAAATTTGATAGTTGAACTAAAAAATTAAAAACATACGTAAAACAATATTCGTGCATAGCACGGGTTCTCTCCTAGTTATTATAATTTTCCATGTGAGTTTTTATCTTATTTTTACCCGTTTTTCTATAATTAAGATTTCAGATTTTCAATTTTTTTAATTCGCACCCATATAATAAAACAGTACTTTGGGATTCACTTTCGGAATATAATTTCACTTGGCTGATCCAGTTAAAACTTAGAAATGACATACAACATGGAGAGTAAATTGAGTTTTCACCATGATTTTTAAAAATATAGATTGGTCAATATAAAACACACTAAGACATGCTTTGATGAGTAAATATTAATTGAAAATTATTTGTTACGTAACTTGTCAACGCCTTTGCAACATTTACAGTATTTATTTTTACTTAATTTTAATATGATAGTCAGTATTATCATTTAGTCTAAGCCAGTTAGGAAAATTAATAATGATGCTACTTAATTTGTGTTCCTTTTTCATAATTTCTTACCCTTTATTTCTGAAAATGCCAATAAGTAAAAAAATCTCCTCCGATGCCTTTTCATGTTGAACCATTTGCCTCTAATTTCATTCACATTTATGGGTGTGAGAACTAATAGAGTAACAAGAAGATTTCCATTATTTCTTCAGCTTCCTTGTATTCCCTAAGAAAAAAAAAACCATTCATAAGTGTAATTTTATTCTAAAAGGTATACCGAATCATAATTTATATTTGTTATATTATTCCACAACTTTCAGAATTATCTTATTATTATTATTATTTTGGTCGAATTTTTCTTTTAAACAAAAAAATACCAAAAGAATATTCAACATGTGATATACCAAAAGATGGACCAGTAGCCTTGTGAATTGACGCCAAGCGATTGCATCTTTACGAAGTCGAGGATGGAGGCTTTGGAGGCACTGAAGAAGATCCATGCTGATGATCTTGAGGTGGGGAAACCAAAATCCTTGACTAAGACAAATTAAGTCTTTTGTTTCATCTTCCTTTTCTGAAATGTGTAAAAACATTATCCTTGCGTTACCAAAGCGTTACAAAATATAAACTCTTTTACCGTATCTTCCCTTATGTTTTGATTGCTGACAAAATGAGAACAAGTTAGGTGAATTGTGTATTTTCCAAGTTGTTATCTGTTTGTTGTTTCAGGAGGTTTCCCACAAAAATATTAAAGCAAGATGACATGTTCAAAGCTTGGGAGAGATGAATTAAGCAAAAAGATTTACCTTTGATGTTTGTGATTTCAGTTTGTACCAACAAGTTGCATTTGGTTGATTTGTCTATATGGGAACAATGTTTGGTACTGTGAAAGACTTATGTATGGAGAGATGTTTCAAGACAGTATTCTTTAGACAAGAGGTTCATCACTTTCTCACCAAATCCTCTTGTTGTTTACAATCTTGTTCGGGTATATTTATACTCAATTTCAAGAGTTTTTTAGAATTAATTACAAGTTATTTTTTGTTTTTCAGTATCTTAATTTGGGGTTGGTTATGTCATGTGATTAGGTTGCAAGAGATAGGGGACTAGTTCCTGATGAAGGGTTACCTTGCAGCTAGATAGTTTACAAGGCTTGGTCCTAATCATTCTAAGTATCCTTTATTTACTAAAGCACAAGTCACCTGGCCAATCAAAATCTGCCACATAAATTATGTTTCAATTCATAAGAAAATAGCACAATAATAAATTACAAATAGACAACAAAACAAATTATAAATTTTAAACATAAAAAGAAATCTCAAACTTCCCCACTCATCCACTATATCTGCAGTTTCAAAATATATATACAAAAAAACTGCAGCAGTTTTTTCAGTCATATACTACACAATGTTCAACTAAAAATAAAACCACCCGAACATCATTTTTGTTTCTCGCATCTTAGTCTAACCATCTAATTATGTTTCTCTTTTACAGGTGGGATGACTCAACTGTTATGGATGTGGATTAGAAGACTATTCTCCTTGCTGATGTATCTAAGATAACAAGCAAAATATCAAGACCATGACTACCAGCAAGGTTCATTCATCTCTCTTATATCTCAGTGATTTGTTCTATTTTTAGCTTTAAATTGCTTTTTGTGTTAAGAATTTTGTAATATAAGTGTTTTAATAAAATTAAATCAGCATAAATAGAGAGAAAGATGTTTCATGTAAAGAAAATAACCCAGAATGTTTTTAAAGAATTCAGCAAATATTAATGACTAATATTTTATATTTATTTTTTCATATTTTATTAAAAAATGCATTTTTTCCGTACAAAGTACGGGTTCTAATACTAGTATATTTATACATGATGAGTCCCACTATTTTTTTTCTTCTTATTTTAAAATTTTCTATTATAATACTATTTTTTAAATTATTTTTCTTTTTTGAAATAAATACTAAATTTAAAATTTTATATTGTTGTGTTAATACATATTAAAATCTAAATTGACGATGACACATGACGCTATACTTAGTTTTTGGATTAAAATTTTGTTAAATTATCCACAAAATTAAGTTTTATAATTTGAACTTAAGAAATTTGAAATTTATCTATATTTCTTATAAACAGGATAAACAATATTTTTTATATTTCTAAATAAAAAAAACGATCTTATAAATTATAGATTTTTATTTATATATATTTTTTGTAGTAAAAAAACATCTTATTTTTTTCAAAATAAATACTAAAAATTAAATTTTATATTATTTAATTGACACATGTCACAACCTAAATTGGCTATAACAGATGACACAATTTAATGAGTTATAATTTTGGTTATGTGTCATAATTACGTTAAGAAATTCTAAATAAAATCACACTTGAGATAGTACATAAACATGTTTATGTTAGAAACTTAAGTCGAATAATATATTACTTTATTACAAGGTGCTTAAGATTAATAAAAATTGAGATTTATTATTATTGAAATAAATATTATTTAGGACAACGATATTCGCAAAAACACTGTTTTTGTCCTTTTAAAGGCCCACCAGGTGCGACGATACATCCAAATTTCACGAACGATTGTGAATACATCTTCAAACATGAAGCCTTACACTCCTTTTCAATACAACGGTCAGAGTGTGGGATATCAAAACACCTATTTTGAAGTGAAGATTCCACTCCTATGAAAATAAATGTTTGAAACATAAAATTTTAGTTTGTGTATTTAAATTAGATAAAAATGGTACTATAATTTTTATCGTGAAGATGTTTATTTTAAAAATAAAATATAAGATTATAATTAAAATAATTAACATATAATAATAATAATTTAAATGCATCATAGGAATTCCATAAAAAAACTATATAACACCAATATTTTATAATAATAAACTGTAATTTGAAACAATAATCTATGCTATATGAAAAAAATACTTTTTGGACATACAAAATTTAACATAAATTTTAATTTTTTTAGTTTGTTGTCAATCAATAATAAAGATTTTTTTTTTTGTTTTAAGATGCTAAATGTTACCAACTTTTTTAAAATACACAATAATCATAAACACAAAAATTACCACATTGATATTATTCAAATAATATAATATAATTTAC